CACTGATAAAACTATTAGCCTCAAATATTGCTGCTAATAAAGTTGCCACATTGTATACCAACAATATTAAAATTCCATCCATTATTCTGAAAAATATTTTCCAGCAATTTCCAAAATATATATTAGATTTTCCATTTCAGGAAAAAAGGAACATTCCTATTTTCATTACCCTAATATATTTCTCCTCTAACCACATGATGTTGACCACTCACATGATCACTTATGTTCATCATGAAGTCATACGCAGTAATCACTGCATGAGCTACTGAAGGACAATTAGAATTTCAGAAAGAGGAACCAATGTGTAAAATGGGAATCTTTGTACATAGATATATGTCTAAAGTCTCTTTGTCAACATTCTACTGAATGTGGGAAAATCAGGAGATGTGGTCAGAAAGCTTGTGGTCACTGGGTTAGACACAACAGGTACAGCCTACCAGATGACTCCAGGAATAACCTCTTGTGTTGTTAGACTGACTGAATATTCCACATCCATCTAGCTCATGACGAACTAAGGAAGAATTGAAGGAAGACTTTCATAGGGAATGTTACAAACCTTTTCCAACATGAAGGGTGAATATCTCATAAATGAAACATTAAAGATAACTAGCACATGAAGTGACTCCCATATTTCAGAATAAAATTAATCCTTCCCTAATAATAAGATTTAACAGCAGAAAAGTTGACAACAGAAAGACAAACACTGAACTAGAACGATGGCACCATTGTTTTGATTATGTTCATTTAATTGACTTACAAAGGGCCTTTTAAATTTTACTGGTAGCACTGCAGTTATACAGCTTGGTTTCTCCTTTTTCAAAGGCAAGATACCATTCACAGACACATAGATGTCTGGGGAGGTTGAATATCACTTTTAAGTGTCATAGTTGCAGCAAATAACATGGTCACTGCAGTATCTTGTCTGCTCACTTTCCCCCTTCCTTATTTCCCTAAACTTGAGGAACAGACCAAGATTCTTTCCAATACATTTTTGTTGACTTCCATGAGACAGGTACGGAAATCAAAGGGGGGGGGACAGTTCTTGCTGCTTCTAGACCAATCTAAAAGCAAAGTGATTGGAAAGACATCTATACCGCACTGTAGTTGAAAACTTCAAGTTCTCACAGCTTACTCAAGTATTCCTGTTAAGAGACATAAATTCACTGGTTCAAACAGACCAAAGCCAACACAGCTATTGCTGCAGGATAGCTAGCCAGCCAGTGCAGTCTACTTGGCATTAGCAATCAAAGTAAAATCTATCTGAAACTCTTCCTACTTCTCAGAGATATTTGTGTATTTGGAACTGCTGTCCTAACAAATTTACTAGACAGTAAAATGAATATATTGTAAGTTACATGTGCAGCCAACATCAAGGTTGTGCAGATGGCTCTCCTATTTCCCCTTTATTTTCACAACAACCTTGTAAGGCAGATCAAGAAATACTGATTGCTCCAAAGTTACCCAACTGGTACCATGGCCCAACGGGTACCAAAACCTAGTTCTCTCAAGCTGCAATCTAATATTCAGTCTCCAGTCAATGAGTTCTCTTGTGTCCTGTATCCTACGCCCCCCCCCAAATTATTTTACTGTGAATAATTAGTTATAATAATCAGGATTTTTCAGTTTGCTTTGATCAAAATATTATAGCTTTCTACATTTCATGTATTGTATGACACTTTGGTCTTTATTCATTTGCTCTAGTATTTCTTCATTGATCACCCTCTCAAGTCAAGAATGCATGCAGTAAATCTACATTTGTTTGTTTGACTTTTATATTACCCATCTGGCTGCCAAGGTCACGCCAGGCAGTTTACAACACAATAATAGAATAGATCACAATTTAAGAACAATAAACATAATAGCTAAAGAATATCAAAATTAACATCAGTACACATACACAAAACAACATAAAATTAAATAAAAATGATTAAAGGTAATTTAAAGGCATGGTGACAGAACTGATAATATGAATGCAGAGACAACCACTGTGGTATGATGACATAAGCTCCAGTCTTTTTTACTGTGTGAAATTTCATGATCCCATGCCATAGAATTGAGAATATAGAGCACCACATACTATGTATTCTCAAAACTGATGTTACAATTCTATTGCATGTAACATTTTTAACTTTAAGGAAGCTGCTCTGGGTCATCTCTGTTCTGCCCTTCTCAATGGCTATGTTCCCATCGTTCCTTCAATCACATTCCAAGAGACTTGTATTTGTAAGTATGTCTACAACAGCAGAAATATTATATTAAACTGCAAGAACAGAGCCAATGAGACAGCTACACTACATGTAGCCTCAGCAAGATTCCTAAAAGCTGATACCTGGATTTCTTCTGTACCTGAAACATGTGAACTATGTATATTTTGCACAATATTATGCACAATTCATTGTGTACTTTCATTAAACACTATCAGCTAGTTTGCTCATTGGGCTATCATTAACTTATTGGCACTGTTTTCATTCCTGTCTTTACAAAAATAAAACATTTCGAATACAGTGATGCCTCGCAAGACGAAAATAATTTGTTCCGTGAGTTGTTTCCTATTGTGAAAATTCCGTCTTGCGAAGCGCGGTTTCCCATAGGAATGCACTGAAATTTAATTAATATGTTCCTATTCGTCTTGCGAAGCATGGCCATAGAAAAATTTGTCTTGCAAGTCACCAAAAGATCGCAAAACGCTTTTGTCTTGCAAGTTTTTCATTGAGCGAGGCGTTCATCTTGCAAGGCATCACTGTAATTGAAAGATACACAATGTTTACATTTTGTGATCCAATTTCTAATTGTATGCCTGGCTACTGAAATCCTGTTAGCATAGTAAGTTGCACTAGAGTAGGCCCACTTGGACAAATGAGCTTATAAAGAAATTGATTCACCAAATTTCTGCTGATTTAATGGGATATTCTAGTGCTACTTGCTAGGCCCTATGCTAAGCAATAGGACTTTGTCCTATAAATGCTAATTTATTTTCAACCCTCTGCTATTTTCCAATATATATAAAAAGAAACATAAAATAGTTCTTAAATACCAATTTACAACACAAAACTAATGCATGGAATTTCCTGACCGAGATATGGGGATCACTACAAACTTACATAACTTTTTTGGAAAAGTTCACATTGCGGTGATGTACCCTTCCATCCCTCATGTGTCTTAAGACTTCAATTCCCAGAAACCTCAGCCACAGGTGAGTAATTATGATTGAAGTTCACCAATGGAGGATGGGACTATCAACAAGTACTTCCTAGGACAGTAATACAGAACTTCCATGTTCTCTGTGGATTAATAACTGAATAACTAATACCAGCTACTTGAAATCGATAGCACAGGAGCCACTACCTTCACACTCTCCTTATGGGTTACACAGAAGAATCTGGTTGCTCACCGTAGGAAAAAGATGCTAGACCAGACAAGACCTAGGATTTTGTTCATCAAGCTTGTCTCAAAGCTCTTGATTTGGAGCAAACCAAAGATAGTTTTAAGGAATAAAGTCATTAATTATGAGACATTTTCTGTTTCAGTTTTATTTTATACCCCATGTACATCTTATACTTCATCTAACAAGGTACTCAAATATTTGTGTATTTTTAAAAGCCGTATAGGTACAGAGTATTCACCAGGAGGCTTTTATGGATTAAAGGCCTGCAAATGAATGAGGGGATTACTACAGACATTGTTACATTGTCTAAGGCCTAAATGGAGATATGCCTAATACAAATGACTCAAAGTAAAACAAACAGAACTCTGTATCACTTTATTACTCAGCGCTTACTCAAGATGGCTATGGCAGTTACTCTTGTGAAACTAAAGATGTCTCCTTGAATAACTGAGCTGCAATATTAATCACAATTACACAAGTACTCCTATGCAACTGTAGTCTCCAGTTTTATTATAAAACCTTTGTACATAAATTCCATTCCTTCTCCTCGCCCTTAACAATCTGTCAGGGAACTTCAATCAAACATACAAGCATCAACACGATATCTCTCAAATTTTGATAGGATACAATTAAATGTGATATTGACAGTAAAGGAAACAAACCTTGCAAAACTGGCTTCTTTCCTCCCTAACACTAATACACACACACACACACACACACAGAGAGAGAGAGAGAGAGAGAGAGAGAGAGAGAGAGAGAGAGAAATTTGAAATACAGTATTCACATACTTGCTAAAATATTTCTCTTTCAGAGTGACATTTATTTGGTGGACTCAGTTAAACTGTTTTTATATTAAGATAATGAATACATTGTGACAAAGGTTTGTGGGATTTGCTTCACCTTTTAGCTACAAAGTAGTTAAATGATGAGTTAACTTTTAAATGCCTTTTAAGTTTGTTTGCATCTTTCTTAAACTACCGTGTCCACATTTAGATGTTTACAGGAACTTGGTAAATATACTTGGTAAATTTAGAGGAGTTTGTGCTAGAGAGCCCTTCATGAAAAAAAAAAAAAAAAATCAACGCAAAGACTGATAATTAAGATGCAAAATGACTTAATGTCCCCAACCCTCCCTTTCAAAGTTGAACTGAAACTAAATTAGTCTCAATACAGGGAGCTTTTTTCTTGGGAAGCCCAGAAAAGGGAAAGAATCGGAATTTCAGTTCTATCCTTTCCTCCTTTGTTATGCAGTATTGTGCCGCATTAATCTCACACCCGAGAAATACATCTGGGTTGCTACTAAAGTTTCATCCCCCACCCCACCCCCAAGCCTGGGGAGAGGATCTTCCCTTCCCACCCCATTCTGCAACAACCTTTCTTTAGATAAAAGCTCTCTAGTTAATGTGGGTGGGAAAAGCATCCCACATTCTTTGGAATATCTATGTGTTCATACGCCTCTGTGTGTATAGTTTACCTCCATCCATTGTACCTAATGCCTTTCCTCTTTTTTTTTAACCTTATGCAATCCATACTGGGCTCGCCACGCCTTGCTACACTCCCTTTCCCCCTTCCTTTCAACAATAACAAACTGAAGTTGAAAACAGAAAGCAATTACCTTCCAAGCCAGCATACTCTGCCAGCCAGAGTCCTACATAATCCAACAGGGTAGTGCTTGGAGCTGCTGCTGTTGCTGCTGCCGCCACCGCTGCTTCTGCTCCAGAGATTCTGCCTGATTATCACAAGGCTCTAGTTTTTCCCCACCTCTACTTTTCCTTCTTTTTAGTAGTGCCCTGAAAAATCTATTCTTTTCCCCTCCACCTTTGTTAAGGGTGAGAAACTGAGCCCTGCCTCTTCTCTCTCTCTCTCTCTCTTTCACTTCTTGTATTACAGTTACACGGCCGTGTGACGTTTCTGGCTCAGGAAAAAAGGGGAGAAAACAACTGAGTTGGAGAGCCGCCCCGCCAGAGCTAAACTCCTCCCTTCCTTGCCTCTCAGATGCCTCCTCCCTCCTCCTCACGACCTAAAACACAGCAACAAGCTGTTGGAGGGGGTGGTGGAGTTCAGTGGAGTGGAGAGGGAGGGGGGGCAGAATGGGAGAAAACAGGGGTTTGGCTCCTTTCCCTCACAGATACAACCCCTCCCCTCCTCTCCTCCCTCCAAACTGGGAGGCAACAATCCCACGTCAAAAATATCTCTTCAGTAAACATCACTGCACTTTATTATCCTGAGTCTTTTGGCTTTCTTTTGGGATTGTTAATTGTAGCCGTGGCACATAATAAAACCTGACACTGCCACAGTGGGTAATACAATGCCATTACTGAAACCCATGCTACGGAGGGACTCCAAACACCACTGTGTCGAACAGTTGCAATGTTAGCACAACTAAATGGCCACTATGTCTGCCATTAGACACACCAATGTGGCGTTTGAAGGCATTTTCTGACACAGCGTTGTGTACTGTTCTCAGAAATGAAAATGAGGAAGAAGAATTCAGAATGCAGAAATAATACACAGCATTAATTCTACTCAGAAGGGGTAATTCTACCTCACTAAGTATAGTGAGACTTACCGCAAGTGAAGGAGTGCAAGACTGCAACCTAAGACTTCAATCCAAAATTAACTGACAAAAAGCTGTCTTGACTGGGGCTTAATTTTGAGTAGTCTTGTTCTGGACTGCACTTTAAGCCTCCAGTTCTATGCAGAGGTTTGAAAGTTCAGTCTTGGGTGGGAGGGATGAGACTTCACAGTAAACATGTATATTCTTGGCTGCAAAGACACCTTTGAACCTTTCTAGCATAATTTGTGGGCATGCAGGATAAAAAACCATCTTTAAAATGAATACACTTTTTAGCTAGGGCAGGCTTTTTTTTTACATCAGAGGTAGGAAATATAAACATGCTTCTGTCAGCCCAATCCCATGAATATTTACTCAGAAGTAAATCCCACTGTTTCCAGAACACTTCCTCCTAAGAACATAGGACTCGAGGTTTAGCTTGTGTGTGCGTACTATGTGCTGTCAAATTGCATCCAATTTATACAGTGACCCTAACTGAGTTTTCAAGGTGTGTGAGATATTTAAGGAGTGCTTTTTATCATTGCTACCCTCAATGAGTTTTCCCAGCACAGCTGGGATTTGAACCCAAGTCTTCTGAATCTTAGTCTATCCACCAAAACGCCTTAGTTTACTTCCAAACAAATATACACAGAACTAAGCCGTTGGTGCCATAAGTGAATACACCTTAACAACAACACTGTAAAAGCCATGTGCCAACACGAAGAGTTGTCATGAATTGTTCTGTAATACTAGAAATGATCATTCCTCTCTATTAACACCATACTATCTAACAATGAGTGCGGCTTAGAACTAACCAAACAGGGAGAACTAGTGACACTCACGTTCAAAGCATAAGTACAGTACTAGATTCAATTAATGTTTGACTATGGCAGCAAGTATGCTGAAGTATTGATACCTATTATAACACCTCGCCCATTTGTGTGCACACATAGACATACATTCAGTTTTGCTATATAAGAATGAAGAAAAGTGATACAGTACAAGGAAAGGGCAAATCAACCCAGCAGTCTGGTTCTTAAATTATCTCACTGGATTGCCAAATGTTCCTAAATGTGGTGTCCTATCTTCTTTAAGTTATGCTCTTTTTCAAAAAGTTAAGTATACCGTTGCCAAGCAAGTTAATGAAAAACTCTTTGGTAGTTAACTCATTTAGTGCAGCAGCTATGAAATGAAGTATGTGGCACATGGCCAAGCATAAAGGACTCTCCTTGAACGTGCTCAGGTTTCTCTCTAACAAGAAATAGTTCTGCCCATCTTCAGAGTGAAGCAAGCAGTTGGCTTCTACACAAAGGACTGCATTTAGTCCTTTTAATAGTCTACCCCGCCCCTTCGCCCAAATATACAAGATAAAAAGGCAAGCAAGAAATCCACATTTACCCTTGAAAAGACTGAAATCTCAAATTTCTCCCAATAGCAATATGTTATGTTCCTGATAAAAACCCATAATCAGTTATAATATTGATATTAGGAACAAATGGGCAGAATCACAAAGGGAGAGATTTACTGAGGACAAAACAGGACAGGATCCATGACAGGCAAGGCCCACTACAGCTATTCATTTAGTGAATGTGCTTATTGTGTGGTGCAGAAATGACCATTCTTTATAGCATTCATGAAGTATGTTGGCCAACAGTTCTTCTGTTATGCTGGGACAATTACATCTGACATTTGCCAAAATGAACTTTCATCTGTATATTTTAATAATATCTATGCATATTTAGAAATGCAGACAAGGCAGAAGAAATCAAGACCTTCCCATTGGAAAATCCCCTTTGTATGTGTGTGTGTGTGTTTGTGTGTGTGTAGTTCAGCAATCTCCTTTGAATACCATGAAGGATTAAAACCTCCTATTGTGTTACAGTTTCAATGTGATTCTGCAGTGCCTTTTAAAAAAAATCTTTATGACAATGACTTTATAACAATGTCTTAAGGGACAGATATAAATAATCACATTCCTGGAAGGGAAAATGGGTGTCGTTTTTGGATTCACTCCACCTTCCCCCTCCCATAAGAAAGTCTGCCACATTGTTGAAATGCACCCTTGGCTCATTTTATACAGTACTTCCTTGCCTTAGTAGAGCTCAAGTTGATACTTGAAACCACCTTCTTGAAAGGATAGCTCTATTCATGATTAGAAACCTAGTCAAAGGGAGTGAGTTTTAAGCTCACCCTATATGGTGGAGGGAGGGAGAAAAAATATTCATTGACTTATCCAGGTACCAAGAGCCATAATCCCCCCAAAAAAGACAAATCCGTGTAGAAAATAGCAAGAGTGCAGTTTACCCCTTGCACTGTAATGTGGAGCTGCAATGCAAACACAGTAAGCGGTAAACGCAATGGATTGGAGGATTAGGCTGCCAGTCTTGGCTAAGGGGCAGGGATAGGCAAAAGAGGGCTACTTTGCATCGGTGTTTCGCATTCTTCTTTGCTACCGAGTCTCTGAATGACTGAGGAGGGGGAAAAGGAAAGCAAGCAAGCTCAGAGTTCAGGAAACCTCGATTTCCATGGAAAGAGTTGGTTTCCTTAACAAATAGCACTGGAGATGGAAAATATGCATGCCTGTCTCCAGTGGGAGATGCAAAAGTGAGAGCGAAAGATTGAACAGAGAGCATTTAGCTGCAAAGGACAGGGAGGAGGAAGAGGAGGAAGAGGAAGGGCTGTGGAGGTGAGGTGAGAGAAGGAGTTGTCTCTCTCTGCTAAAAAGGGCTTCGACCTTACACGGATCTCTCAAACTGTCTGCACCCAGTGTGGAGGTGCATGAACGTATGTATGTACATATATGTCAGACTAGTTGGATTATAACAGTCCCCCAAACTCTATCTAATTTATGAACTCATTAGTCTAATTTCATTATTTAATCATGCGCCTAGCCATCGTGCTTCCTTAAGAAAGGACTGACCTATTTTTGGCTGGAGATAAACGATCATGTTAACAGATGTTAATCTTGTAATCTGTTTTCCTGTAAGCACTTCGCATCCCCGCTTTCGAGACATTAACAACAACAGCGACGACACACACACACATACACACCCCGAGGGAAACATAAAAGCCCCGAATTGACGTCACTATTGAATACTTGGGGGTGATATTTTTAAAAGGGTAGAGGTGGGGGAGAGGGAATCCGCCGAAAGCTTTCAAAGACATTAAATCTTTCCCCACTTTATAAATGCTGATTTGTTCTGCCTCAGTTCCTACGGGCTTTTATTTGCATTTCAAATTCCACAGGTTACACCAACTGCCTTCTCCACCCATACACACACACACACACACACAGAGAGAGAGAGAGAACGAGAGAACAATAAGGTTGTAAATGTGCACTGAGGAGGTGGGGGCTGGGGTACATCTGGATTAAATAAGGAGCAAGAATTACGAGGTTCCCCCCAAGTCGTCTGGAGATGACGACGCCAATGTATCTTTCTGGTCTCTGGAGTCCAAGCCTCACTTTGAAAAATAAAAGGCGGAGGAGGGGAGAAAAATCGAAGGGAATTAATATGAGACGGACCCGCCGCCGCCCGCCCCCTCGCCGCCCCGGCACATACACACAATGCCCATTTCCTTGACCCTAATGGTCTCCTGCCAGGGATTTTTTTTTTATCAACGCTTCCCGTGCGTTACCGTTTTCTAGAGCGCAAGACATTTGCCCCCGGGGGAGGGAGGGAGGGAGG